CATTTGTCATTTTTTTCTCATACCGTGAAGAAAGCAAGTTGCTGCTGTGACATTCGACAGTGTTCATTGTGCCTTACAAAACATGAAGACCATGATGACGAAGAATGCTAGGCTTCATAGTTTGTATCTGGCATATATTGCTTCTATTAGATGCACTTCATAAAACTAATTGCAGATTCAAATTCAGCGATAGTTTTACTGTACAAAGAAATCTTTTTCGTTTAGAGATAGCAGTATCTATAAACCAGTTCTAATTATAGGCAACCAACCTAGCACTAGTCCTTGTCCCTGGGCATCCAAAACTGTCTGTTTGTTTGTTTAGTATAGGGTTTTACGGCGCTCGCAACTGCATAAGGTCATATGAGCGCGCGGGACACACCTAATACTTTTTCGTTGGTAGGAAATTTTGAATTTTGCCCGGGTGGCGGCCGAAGCCTACTCTTATCGATTTTAGACCACCAAGGGATCTTTAACGTGCGCAACTTGCACACGGGCCCTCCGAGATTTTTCGCCCTTGTCCGAGAAGGCTAGGTGTAGAGCTTTCCTACCAGAAGATCAGGGGTGTGGCAGAAAGACAGCAGTTAGGAGGAGCCAAGGAGTAGCAGTAGAAAGGCTGCAGAAAGAGTCAGGAGCCCAGAGGAGGAGGCAAAGGAGGTGAGGGGGTGGGGGCAGAAAGTGGAAATGAAAGCAGACAACAGAACATTGTTAGAGATCAGGAAAGGATGTGAAAGGAGACAATTTCAGAGAAGAAAATTTGTTGGTCGCTACCCGGAATCGAACCCGGGACCTTTGAATGAGAGGCCAACACCTTAACCTCTAGGCTACGAGAGCCCCCTCCATATCTGTGCTCAGATAAGCATGAATTGACCCAGTGTCGCAAAGGGGTTAAATGTATAATCCTATCTGAGGGAAATCTATCAAAGACTATCAAGAGACATAAATGGATTCAGAATAACCAAACACACACTAGTCAAAAGAAGCTCAGGCTTGAAAAAAACAAACCCCATAAACTCAACAAAAGTTTAAAAATTGGGGATCAATAAATGAAAATGTTGTGATCTCTTTTATGTGACTATGATTACAACATAATATAGCAATGAGTGTACACATACACATGAAACAACAAAAATGGTTGCAAACAGCAAAATTGGTTGCAAACAGCAAAATATGGATTATCAGAATAGAAAATGAAAAGAAAATATTAATTGTTCTACTGGAAGAAAAACATCATAACATAATTGTTTGCAGGCACTCAACAAAAGAGGAGGATATATTAACAGTGTAACATACGTGGAAACCATTGTTAAGTAAAGTTACCAAAACACAAACACCCTTAACTAAACAAGATTGCCCAAATTGTGACCTCTGTCACAATTTTAAAAAATAGTCTTTGATTTATAAAACATATCAATCATTGCATGACTGACTTGAAATGGTTTTTCCAGCTACTGTACCGTGACTGTAATTACACCATGATGTATAATGAGGTTTGTGATTGAGCTGACCATACTCCTCCATCAGCCAAAGTTATCACAATTATGCCACTGAGACAAAGGGCCAAGCCCAATGGGAGCTGTTTATGAACAACCACAACAGGAAGTCCAAACCCACTGACTGACTAGGCCTTGGCAGGAAACAGGATTAGTAATGAAAGAAGAAGAAATGGGTTGGTCGAAGCTTGTTTTTGGAAGTAAAAAGTCTGTGGAGACTAGAGCTGTACTCTGATAGCAAACCCGCTAGTGCTCGCAAGCCCCTACTTCAAGTCACAAGCCTCAAATCACTAGGTCAAATAATCAAATCAAATCACCAGCATGATAAGTTGAGTCAAGCCTAAGCTTCAGGTCCACACCAACTACTAGCAATCCGCAAAGCCACTAGTGTCAGAACCCCTCATCCCGGTATCGAGCGGGAGGCAAAGCAAAGCACAAGTCTGCTCGCAAGCCTCTGGCGCAAGCCATCCGTTGCTCGCAAGCTTTCGATTAATTGAGCAGACTCCAGCTCTAGTGTAGACTAGATGGATAGGAAGGTGAGGAATATCATACAACAGAGACCTTTGAACATGCAAGTCATACGTGCAACGACAATCTTAACATAAAAAAACCCACCCTCAAATAATATGGGCTTTAAAGATAATTATGACCATGGGATAAGTACAGCCTGCATTTTGCATCACAAAATATCATGGCATAGTTAAGCAAAGGAAGGAAAACAGGGCGCTTATATTTGTGGAAAAAAATATCATTTGTGGTATGAATAGTAAGGGTTGGGTAAGGTAAACTATACTAACCGACACTGAAACTGAAAGTGACTGTGGCAAAAAGGTAGTAAAGTACTCAGTAAACGCGCAGTGGAATAAATCACGAAAGTACTCTCATAGATCTGCTTTTTAAAAAAGTACTGACACATTATGTATATGTAAAGTAAACAGACACACTAAGAGAATATACAGACAGGTAGCTGCAAACTAAAACAATGGGTAAAAGGGCATTTGAATGCCAAAATCTTTTGATTCATTCAAAAGTCAGCTGAAGTCGTTTCTGTTTTAAAATTAATAAGATGAATATTTGGAGTGACTTTCTTTTTTTAGTCAGAACACAACTTTTTATGTTACTGTTGTACGTTGTACTGTATTGTAAAGCGCTCAGAGCCAGTGTACTTTAATTGAGGTTGAGTGCAATGTAAATGTCATTTATTATTATAATTATTACGCATCCAGAGACTGGCAGACAAACATACCAGTTCACTCACGCATACTTAAGATTAGAAAGTATACTGTTGAGGGTTCAGGATAAAAATCCCATGCTCTGGCCCTTTACATTCCAGGAAAAATAGTGTGATATGTCTAATTGTATTAATTCCCCATTTAATACAAGACAATCAATCAGTAATTTTGGAAAAATTGAATTAACTCAAGTGACTGATTTTAGGTTGTCACACAATTTTACTTGTGTCAATGTATAGTCTTTTCTCCTGGGTCCGCCAGGTTTATTTTTTTTTCCTTTCTAAAACAAGATTTTTTTTCCTGCAATTTTTAGTTGTGTGATACATTTTTCTTTCAGAGTTAATAAACATTGTATTATTACTCCTATAAATAAAAAGATAGGCGTGCACTTACTAGCACTCAGAACAGGTTTCTTTCCTGTGTAGAACTAACAGGTCATAACTCATTCGCTGCGCCGAGCCGCGGGGGGCAGCGCGGCTAAAGTGCCGTCAGTACGCTAAGCCGCCCCCGGCGGCTCGAGAACCAATCTTCAATTTTAGCTTAGATTCTCTTCCAATCCACATATCCATGTTAAAATAAAGGTCATAATATAATGTTGACTTCCGGGTCAAGCATTTCCACTGAACATTGGAATTTTAGATTCAGTTTTGAAACGCGATTTCGTAGTTTATTCGACTTTGTTTTATTGCGATGCCAAAATTATAGCCCGGACACCAGTCTTAGTAATTTTACACAACAAAATCTATCATTATTTTGCCCACTAAAGAAATGTTTGACTCTCTGTTACAATATTGATACGATTAGACTCATATTGCCAATGCACTGTTATTGAGAAATCAATATTTTTTAGTGCTAGATCTAGGTCTAGATCTAAATTGTCAAAATATTTTTTCTCCCCAAAATCACTACTTTTTAATGAAATTTCACAAAAGTGCCACTCAAGACATGTATAAGTTAATTCCAAATGCAATTCTGAATAATTCCATATAACATACGAGTGGGTTTTTTCTGTTTGTAATCGTTTTTTCAAGATTATAAAATTTAATTTTTTTTTTCAATATCGGATGTTATGATCCAAATGTACAAATATCATGGAATGTATGTAAATAACAGCAAACTTTTCAATATTTTCCAGTTCTATATTCATTTATGGTTATTTTGATGTATCATTTGACTAGGTGCAAACATATTTTTTGAGTTTCACCAAAGATTAGTAATTTTTTATTTTCAAATGTTATCCGCATCCATTCAAATTTGCGTTGCATAATTGCCTCTTACAGGAACCAAAGTTGAAAAATACATAAATAAACATTACAGATGTATTCTACAAACCATGCTGAAAATATTGGTATATAATACGTTGGTATTTATTTGAATTTGTGGCCCCAAAGACCTTTTAACTGCCCACTAGTCATCATCTCATTTCGCCCTCGCGAAAAAAATTCGTCCACAAGCCGAAAATAATACGTACCGAATGAGTTTTAAGCCAATTTAAATTTATTGACAAATTCAAGATGGTGAACAATTATATACAAGTACCTAGATACGATGGCAACCAGATGTATAAGAACATCTTTTGCCATGTTTTCCCTTATCTGTCACCCTCGGGAATTCTGTACGTCTGTTTGAATAAAGAGAAGCACATCGAATTTCTTGTGCTCTATTTTAAGCATCCAGAACATCATTTGTAGCAACACAAAGTGTAAAAACATGAAAAATAAAGGTTTCACAACAGAATGAAATCAAAATCACAGCAGCACATAAACAACCTCAAAAATTAACATATAAGGGCGTGCATCCACCAATGTGAAAACTGGCCGTTTTAACCGTAAACGTGCGTGATTCAAGGAAAAGTAGGCATACACGATATGACATGTAAGTTATGGAATCAAACACAAGGGGCCTGCCAGTGTCAGTATTTGGTTGTGGTTCTAACATAACACATTTATAATTTTAAAAAGGTAGGAGCAACATCACATTAAATGACATTACGGTACATAAACATTAAAAAAATAGAAAAACAACACATAAGAACAATAACAAGGGAAAAAAAAAATTAAAACACAATAAAGAGGGAAAAATAAGAAATAAATAACAATAATTATAAACAGAATGTAAATTACTTATTCTTCACATGAAATTACAAATCAACGTTGTGTCAACATGTGAGAAAGAGACGAAGTGAAGCAGAAGTGAAAATAAACTTTCTTTCTGGAAGTAATGAGGTTCGGTTTCTTTTCTTTTCTTTTTTTGTTTTGATTTATATTTTCCGTTTTTCTTTTTAATTTTTTAAATTCCACGGCAGGGTTTAAAAAAAATTTTTAATGCAAAAATCGCAGCCCGATTCGCGAACCTAAAAAAGACAAAAATCGCGGCCACAATCGCAGATGCTAGAATAATATCAAAGAAATTTCAGCAGTAGATCCTCTTAACCATTCATCACTCTGTACAGCCTTCAACTATACACTTCTTTGGGAAAGATCAAGCAAGGCAGTCTACTGTAGTAAGGTAAGGGGGGGGTTTGTGCAGCAAGACAAAACCGGGGTAAAATCAGCCATTAGGCACAAGCCTGGTACAATGAATTCAGTAAAAACACATCCAGGTACTGAACTAGGTCTTTCAAACTCAAGTGTGATGACAGCTGCTGAAGGGTAGCAGTAAAAAAAAGCATGGCAATGAAACAAGATAAAGTGTGCCTTGAAGTATACTCTTCACGCCAGATACTGACATAAAAACAAAATTTGAACTGGGCAGATCCACCCCACATGAGTGGTTCCCACACCATTCTGTTGCTCTGTACAGCATAATTTATGTTTATCGATCCAGTATTTTTTCTCCTTTCAAAGAGGGTTTTTAAGCCTCTGTCAACATAATTTTATTTCCAGATCATTTAGGAGGCAAGTTTCAACCCTACCTATCACGGCCAACGTGCATTGAAAGGGATACAGCATCCCAACAAAATGACCTAGATACTGGCACTGAATAAAAATTCTCCTCATTTGCAAAATGAATTTGGGTCTCCTGTGTGTGACGGCCAAGCGCCTAAAGGTTACACCACAGACACCGGTATCGGGTTTGATGCTAGTTCCAAAATAAATTTGACTGAATAAGAACTGAAACAAGTTGCAGCAATTTACGTTTCAAGTCCAAGCTAGAAATGCCCCTAAATATTAGATTCTGTACCGGGTTGTGCACGGTATAATATTACACAGACAGGAATAAATTCAAAAGCAAAAACATTCATAGGCACAGTATTCATCTGTATGTTCAAGCAAAATAAAGTAAACATTGGCCTTTGTCCATCAAGTTTAGGTGTTGGTGCCACGTGATGTTTTAGTTGTTTTAGTAAAACCAAATTGCTCATCATCCTCACCGTCTGCATTCTCCCGTCTATTTGACTTTCTGTACACCCTTTTGGCAGAGCATGAGGCATAAAAGAACACAATAGAAGCCACAAGACACAGTCCACCAGAGGTCAAATCAACCCAAACACACCACCCAGTTTCTAATTTCTGGGTGAATAATTCCGCCATCTCGGACCTGGGCTTATCAGCCAGGCTTGCATCTTCTGATACATCAGGAAGGAAGGCCCAAAAGAGGAAGCCAGCTGAGTTTTGAGTCAGGAATACGACGTTCATGACAAAGATGAAGGCCGCTGTCGAAGAAATAAGCAGAATTCATAAATGTTTATAGAAACAAAATGCTGTCCGTTACCTTATTGACAAATAAAGGGAGAGGGAAGGAGGAGGGATGGGGAGGGGGAAAAGGGGTTAGGAGAAGGGGTGGGTGGAGGGTGGGGTTTAAAAGCAGAAGTACTGATTTAATGGTCAAAATTACAGTACAAAGTGTGTCACATGATCTTTGTGTCTTTGACCTCAATAAAAAGCATTTTCAGATTTTAAAAAATTTCAAGATTGACATGTCATTTGATCTCACCAGTCACCATTACTGGCATTAGCTCAAACCACAAAAAAGTTCCATGGACTTTGTTGGTAATGAAAAGTTCAAATTCAGTGTGCAAGTGCTTAATACCAAGTCCTTGATATGAAAATGTTATAGTATTTATAGACTGACTGCACGGCAATAAATGTCTTGCGAAAAGATTATGCACCACATGTTTGTAGATTCTCTTTATAAAGTCATTATTGTAATAGTTTTCATAGTTCTATGTCTGTTTCAGACTGAAGCGGTTTAGGCTGAATTTGGTAAGAAATTAAATAAAGCCTAATTCATACTTCAGCAATTCCGACCTTCTTGAAATGATCAATCTGACCTTCTAGTCCTATATTGACGGTTATACATTTTATTAACTCATTCGCTAGGCCGAGACGTGGGAAGCGGCTTGGCTAAAGTTGCTTCCGTACGCCAAGCCGCCCCCGGCAACTCCAGAACCTACCTATAATTCTTGCTTTGATTTTATTCCAATCCTCATATCCAAGTTAAAATAAAGGTTATAATCTAACGTTGACTTCCGGGTAGAGCGTTTCCACCGAAAATCAGAAGTTTAGATTCAGTTTTGAAATGCGATTTCGAAGTTGTATGTTACTTAGTTTTATCACGATGAACAAATTATAACCCAGACACCAGTCTTAGTACTTTTATACAAAAAAATGTATCATTATTTTGCTCACTGAAAAAATGTAGGACTCTTCTTTAGAATATTGATACTATTGGACTCAAATTGCCAGTGATCTGTTATTGAGAAATCAATATTTTTCAGTGCTAGATCTAGGACTAGATCTAAATTGTCAACAACAAAAAATGTTCTCCCCAAAATCACAATTTGTTGGTGAAATTACACAAAAAGTACCACTCACTCAAGACATGCATAGGTTTATTCCAAATGCAATTCTAAATAATTTAACAGAAGATAAGAGTGATTTTTGCGGTTTGTGAATGCATCTTGTCCTTTTTTCAAGATTATATTTTTTTTGTTTTTAATTTTCAATATCGGATGTTATGATCCAAATGTACAAATTTTATGGAATGTATGTAAATAAGTGCAAATTTTTCAATATTTTCCAGTTTTAATTTTATATTCATTTACGGTTATTTTGATGTATCATTTGACTTGGTGCAAATATATTTTTTTAAATTTCACCAAAGATGATTAATTTTTTATTTTCAAATTTTATCACCATCCAAGCAAAAGTGCGTTGCATAATCGCTTCTTACAAGAACCAAAGTCGAAAAATACACAAATAAACATTACAGATGTATTCAACAAACCATACAGAAAATTTTGGTAAAATATGTTGATGTTTAATTGAATTCTTGGCCCCCAAAGACCTGTGAACTGCGCACTAGTCACCATCTCATTTCGCCCTCTCGAAAAAAATTCTTCAACAAGCTAAAAACAATACGTAGCGAATGAGAGGCTCCATTCTCATCACCATATGGTAGCTAGCTCTCACTAAGGCAATGAGTAATTATCTTGCAGGGGAAATCAAATGTGAGTGAAAAGCGTTATTTCCTCTGCAGCAAGACTACATCAAGTCAAATGCAGACATGTAGACACAGTAAACTATCAATTTAACCCCTTCGAGACACAGGGTCAGTTTGTGCTTCACAAGACACAGTTCTGGATCCCCAGGGACAGAGTGAAGCGCTAGATTTAGAAGTGAGTATTCTATAATTAGACCCAGGTTTGTAAATACTACTAAATAAGTCTAAAAGAAAAACATTTCTTTGTATGGAAAAATATAGCTGAATGTGAATCTGCAATTAGTTTTATGAAATGCATCTAATAGAAGCAATATGCAGATTATAACCTATGACGAATGAAGTTCGTGCTTGGCAAGGCATGACAAAAGCCTTACATCACAGCAGCGTCTTTGCTTCTGTGATGAATAATAAGAATAAATGACGAACAGCGTACGCCATATAGGTCATGAAGGGGTTAAGGAAGGGAGACTGGAGTGAATGTAGAAACACGTAAGTCTACATGAATAGTAATTTCTGCCAACGACATCATGCTGATTTATATACAACTCTATGAGATGTAAAACCCCATTCCGAAACACTGTTAAAACTTTGACCATCAGTAAACACAAAATCATTAACCCCACCACTGCCTAGTCTCAGACTTTCTAGGACCTTCGATAGGATCATAAAGTAGGCCTGGTTGTGAAGGGGTTAAATATAAACTTCATTAAGTGACAGTATTCTTCAGTAAACTATCTCAAGATCTGAAAATGCTCTCGTGAGTTTTCCAGCCTTTATCATTGAAATCCATTAAACCCAACAATTTTCTTACACAAGATTTGGTTTTAGTAAGAGTTTCACAGCACTTGCAACACAATAAGGTCATACAAGTGCCGAAGAATAGACGTTACAAGAGAGTAAAGTACACAAAAAAGAAGGAGGAAAGATAAGAACGATAGGTGTTTGATAGGAAAAAAGGGGCAAACCACACCAGAGCACCCGTCAAACACCCACTCTTAAAAGACTGATAATCATAAGGGTTCGAATCATTCATTATATCCTACACAATGACAACAGACATTAAAAGAACTATTCTAAAGTAAAATTATAACTTTTGAAAACGGCAAGCCCAAAAGGGAGGTGCAGAAATTGGAAACAAATACTACACATAATCTACGCCTATCAGTAGCACAGTCCATATTCATCATAACCTGTATGGGTAGCTTGTGGACACGAGAACTGAAAATGTTGGTACAAAATACTCACCAGCAAGGCCACTTATCAACCCTGCCCAGATGGGATTGAACAGCTTACACGGAGGACTGCACAAAATCAACATAGCCAGGACAGCAGTCCCAACAGCTGTGATGGTGCCAATAACTGAAAGAGCCTGACAGGCAACTAACCACCCTGTGGGAAGGAATGAAGCACATTCTCATTTATAAAAATTTATATTCTACAACGGAAATGATCAAAGGATATTAAAAAGTCTAAATAAAAGAATAAACAAAAGCCCTAGTTTCTTTTTAGAAAGGGATTAATGGCATTTGCACCACCATTAGGTCATATAATAAGTGCAAAAGATTGAAATTGTCCCCTCTCGACTCGGGTTCGAGGATCCTGTATGGGAATCTCCGCAACTTCATGTTTAAATAAGTATTACGTCTATAACCCAGTAGTGTACTTGCTACCTACAAACCCCTTACGAAATCCTTAAAATAATCTCTGCCACTGCACTAGCTACCTACTAAAGTCCTCTCTTCACTTGTCTTGGCCCGCTAGAACAGGCTAATACTAACAAGGTCACCATAGCAGAGACTGTGCCCACCATTTTGGAACTTCACGATGACATTAAAGATGGTTCCATTAGGGAACGGGATAGCAGGTGCCCACATCCCTTGTGACTCATTAGAGCAGAGGATTGACAGATAGGACTAACGCTAACATTATTTGAAAAAACAAAACAACAACAACCAAATAAAAGAAGCATGTCTTCGTAATTATAAACATAAGCATCATCCCATATCATCACTTATCACCACCGTCATTTCTAAAATTATCATTGTTCTCAGATCCTTCACAAACATCTATAATTATCTTGAACATCTATATGTAACAGTTATATGTTATAACAATTATGTACGTTATACATTATTGGGCACTCTCATACGCACTTTTTTCTACTAATCAGATGGCGTCAATATCATAGAAATGGGCAACGGACCCAAAAAAAAGTGCAAAAGATTGGAGGTGTTACAAGAGAGTAACAAACACAAAAAAAGGAGGAAACTTAAGGATGATAGAAGTTTGATGGGAAAGTGGGAGAAAACCACACCAGAGCTCACGACAGCCGCCAAAAGCAAAAGAATAAGAAGCTTTTTCCATGTTGGTATTCACCAAAAAGTCGTAAGACATTCTCACACTACATATCATGTACATCAATATGAAATGAGATAGAATATTAGGGTGTTGCAGGTACAGCAACTCACAGTTGAGTACTATCAGACCTCCCCTCGTTATACTGCCAGCTTGGCTTACCACCAGGTTTTGCCAAGGTGCAAAAAGGAGCCCCCAAATAAGCATAGTATTTAAGACTTCACGCCGCCATCCGCCAACTGTTTGAGTTGTATGGTCTTTATTTAACAGATGTAAATTTGCCCCTCCATACCACCAGCGACCAGACCACCAAAGGTGTATACACTGCACACGGCACACAACACCCACTGGTTGGTTATTTGATTATCTTTCTCCCATGACAAAGACATAAAGATAGAGAGAGAAGACTCTCAGCTCTGAATACATGCAGGTACAGGTATATCACCAACAAAGAGACTCTTTTCAAACACAGATTACATAGAAAAAAATCATGTTAATTGACATTGAGCAGTCGGGCTATACAACAGGGAAACCCGGCGAACCGCCAGCCCCGCTGTTCCACCAACTTCTTGCTCGTCCAAAGGGTGATGGTATTAAGAAATTGGATTGTTAATCCCTTTTGCAAACAAAAGATTAGGACACAAGAAGAAGGAGCGAGCTACATTAACACACATTATCTTAAAAAGAAATTGCTGTCACCGAGTAACACTTAGCTCTTGTCAAAATATTCAGCAGTCGCAATGAAAGATGTAAGATCAAGGATCACTCTTAATAATTATATATCTTTCAATATATTGTAGCGACAGCATACATGCAGGCTTACATGGCTCACTGTTGTAATATAGGAGTGTTGTCTTTTTCATTCTACAATTTCATTACAATTTTGTCCTTCGTTGAAGAAGGTGGTGTTGTTGTCATTTCCTTCGCTCTACAATACATGCATTTTTCAGGGTGAGCTCAAAGAGCTCCAGTGGCTGAGTGGTTGGTGAGTTTAGGCTCATGATAGATGTCAAGCATATGTTGGTGAACGGCCAGCAATGGCATGTTTGTAGTATAATATCCATAATGTGTGAATCTATAGATTTTTATGTATCATGTATATGTTATATGGTACGCCATAGTAAAAGAAACTTTTCTCATAAGGATCAATTAAGTGGAATTTATCTATTTATAAAAAGTGAAATGGATCAATGTTGAGTCAATAAAATGAAAGAGCTCAATAAGTACACACAGATAATTCTCATGCCCAAAATCTGTCATGAAAGTAAAATGGTCAAAGGGCTTTTGTCGAAACTATGTCTCCAAAGCATTACATATACTGGGTACTAAGCAACAAGCACAAGCTCACAAGCGAGTCATTTGTGGTACAAAGGAAGATAATCACTGATTTTAGCTGCTGAATAGATGCCACAAGGAGTGTGTATCTGTCACAGCCAGATCACTGAACTGACTGTTTTGCAGGGAAAATTTATATTAGTTTAGTAAGGACTGTACAAATCCAACAGTTGCTAGATGGCGAGTTAAAAGGGCAAATAGTATGTTTATAATTTATACATTATATTTTCTGTATTGGCAAAACCTGGTGGTAAGCTAGACTCACCATATATCTCTGAATGGTGAATACGGATTGATTGTATCATGTAAACCTACCTGGAGTTTTAAAGGCAAAATCCTCAACATCAACATCAGTAGAACCTCCACTCAAGGAAAAATCGTAGCAGTGTTCAAAATCAGATCGTATGTCAGAAGAGCAGACCTTCCACAGTCCATAGTAAACAGAGGAGTACTTTGCTGCCAGGAGAAATGCTTCTGCACAACAGAAAAGAACATGTTCACATTTTTAAGACTATATACAATACATATTATTTCTGCAGGATTTATATTTCTGAAAGAGGCAATGGAACATTTCCACATAAATTATGACTCTACAAAGTACCCTATAAAATTTGTATTTCATATGACTTCACCGAATTATGACTCGGGATCCATTCTATATAAGTGAACAATGGGCACCAGAATACATTCCAAATTGTCTCATTCGGCCACTCTTTGTCCAGTAGAATGTGGATGTCTTTCAGTTTCATTGTAAAATGTACAGAAAATACGCAGGGAGGAAATACGAAGTGGCCATTTGTACAGGTTATTGTTTTATATAGGTGGACATTACAGCAAGTTCGACTGTTTGGTGACTTCCATAGTTGAGAGCCCTTGGAAATTGAAAATTGACATTTTTTGTGCCTTTAATCAACCTTTCTTTCTTAAAGAAAAATCCATGCAAAGATGTGTTTTTAAATGGACATAAAAGGTAGCCAAAAGACAAGAATACAATAAAAATGACAAAACCAGCCTAAAAATGCTGATTTCTTCTATTTCATTGCTTTGGTGAACACCTGATTTCACCATGAGGCTTTTATTCTATCACATCATAGGAGGCCAGTTATATATATTACCTTTTACTTCCACTGCATCTGTACTGAAGAAGTAAGGGTCTCTGCTTTCAGAAACTTCAATAAATTTCTGAGCAACATCTGTCATCTCTGGCATTAAGAAGAACTTCGGTAGGACAACACATGCCAGATGAAGCGCTGTCCCTGCGATGACAGCAAACATCCCTAGTGAAATTATCACTCTGCTTGCCATTTGCCTCTCTCTCTCAATCTGAAAAACGCAACAATGATAGAAAATCAATCAGGAGGGTGTGTGTGTGTGTGTGTGTGTGTGTGTGTGTGTGTGTGTGTGTGTGTGTGTGTGTGTGTATGTGTGAGTTTGTGTGTATTTGTGGTTTGGGACAGGGTAAAAGGGAAGGGGGGGGGAGGTGAGAAAAAATTGGATGGAGGGGTGGAAGATGAAAAAATCTTAATTTTTTACAACCATAAAGACTAATTTTTACTTTCATTCCCACACGTGAACTGCTTAGGGGGTCGAATTGCAGTATTTTTTTTGCTGCAGATCACAACATATATAAAGGCCACTAAAACTGTCGCAAATCAACCATTTTCAAGAAAATTTCAAACCTAACTCTGCAAAGCATCAAATTATGAAATTATGGATTAAAACAGGGGGGGAAGCATGCCTCCCTGTAATCCCCCATTTATTTTTTTACATCAGGGGGGCATGCCTCCCTGAAACCCCACAGCACGGAAATTACCATGCAATTAGGTTTAGAGCGATATAGCTTGATTAAAAAAACAATAAAAATTTATATTTTTAAAAAATATTATTAATATGCGACAGAAATGAAGTGTTCAGAACATGTAGAAAATGGACAATTAGAGTTAAGTGTTCTAAGGGAAGGAAAGAAAAAGCATACCATCATAAAAATGAAAGACAAATCACCTGTCAGATGACAACAGACAACAGCAGCAATAGATAATTCCACACAATAAATCTATGAAAATGCGAGGGTACATGAAAGAGAAGTTATTGTTACTGTGTAGATTCTATGCGAAAGTCACTCTGAAGGTCTACATTCGGCCAAGATCCTGTATTTCAAATAATAATTTCCAGAACAAAAACAAGGGCGATCACAGCTGATCAACCAAGAGCAAAAATTTGTGATCATTATCATTGAACTACCTGTCGCATCACAAATCAGCCACTCTCCTGAAATTGATCACATGAGCATTTCATTGTAAATCTCGATGAAATGGTATGTTTGTCCCAGACGTGATCACACTGAGGTGTGAACTCGCCGACACCCCCACCCACCCCAAATTCGCATGAACTGAGCCCTCCACCTAAACTTACATCACATGCTGGATTAGTACGAAAGGCCTATAAGTTCGCTTTATGGTGTTCACAACACGACTGCAAAGGTCATTTGAGCACACAGGACACATTAAACAATTTCAGTTGGTAGAACATTTTGAATTTTGCCTGGATGACCGCCAAAGCATACTCTTATCGATTTTAGACAACTACGGGATCTTTAACGAGAGCAATTTGCACATAGGATCTCCAAGATTTTTCGCCCTTTATCAAGATCGAAGTGACAATTCAGACTCGGGTCTGATTAAAGAAAAATTATATTCAGACAGACTCGAGTCCAGCATGACGACACTTTCGACTTCCTGTTACATAAAGTCTCACAACGACAGTGTGTTTGTGCGTGTGTGTGTGTGTGTGTGTGTGTGTGTGTGGGGGGGGGGTGTTGTGTATGTGGGTTTCTCTGTATCTCTCTCGATCTTTCTCTATCATGCACACACACACATTCACACACATTCATTTCCTCTCTGTCTCTGTCTTTTTTCATTTAGAAACACTCTCTCTCTTACTTTTCCCTTGCTCTCTCACTCTCAGTCTCTCTAACCCCTCTCCCACTTCATGCATTCAATATGTCTTCCTCTTTCCGTACACCCCCCCTCTTTCTCTTTTTTTCTCTCTCTGCCTGTCTTTTTCTCTTAATATTATCCCCCCTCTCTCTCTCTCTCTCTCCTCATCCTTCTCCTTTCTCTCTCAGATGAAGTTGAAATTATTTTAAAAATTCACATATTATCCTCGGAAAGATTATAGTCTTTAGGGATATCGGCTTTTTGTCTCTGTGGATGTTTGAATTTCACGTTTGTGATCTTCAAAGCCTCAGCTGTGTTACAAATGAGTTACAGGTTTTTCAGTAGCTATCTCTGCATCTCCCTTTCTCGAGGATGATCCATCAAACTAACCCCTCATCAAACGTCAACTTTTCCGATCAGGCGTATACCTAAGACAACAAATGTCCACAACATGTGGGTCACCTCTTCCACTTTTCATTGATCCTCTTTAAGAATAATCCTTTAAAACTTTGGGGATTATTAAGGTATTGACCTTAAAGAGTCTAGGGTTTTGCCTGGCTTTGCCCATAATGCTAAAATAGTTCGCTGGCAGGAAGATAGGAACACCTTTTGAAGCTCATTCTCTAAGGCTATGGGAGGAATCAACGTTAAGGTGAGTGTGTCCTTTGACTAGATACTTATGTTTCACTGTCTGGCAGTAGATGACTGATGCCTAAAGTGAAGGAGCAAGAAACACAGATTCAAAGTTCATATAAATGGCAACAGTCCTGACACTGTAAGCTGAAAAGGCTCTTTCCTTCAGCCTTATGTGCTGTTTCATTGCCTTTTTGTCCATGTTTCCAACCCCGTGGGACTCACATACATCACATAGGCCCTTTTGGGGATGATGCAATACCAAATAGTTGTTATGAAACTACTTTTTGAACACTGTTAGCCCCAGGCCCTTGCGCCCAGTTTCTCACACCTTTTCAAACACTTACTCCACCTTCCTTTATAAAGAATTGAAATGAGCTAGGAAGAGTCTGAATAGACAAAAATTATATTCGGACTCTGAATTGAGACCAGCATGACGTCCGTTCCGACTTCTGACCCTTGTTCCTAAATATTTCTATATTTCTAGCATTAATGACATTTTTCGAGATGTGAGCTATAATATCTAGTTACTTTACTGATTTCACCTCAACTGCCTCCGCAAATTGCTCAGAGTGAAGTGACAGGACAAAGTCCTAGACACTGAAATCCTCGAGCAGACAGGTATGTCGAGCATCTTCACAATGCTCCGAAAGACACAACTCCGCTGGGCTGGCCATGTAGTCAGAATGCCAGACGAGCGTCTGCCAAAACGCATCCTATATGGAGAACTTCAGACTGGAGCACGCTCCCATGGAGGTCTGAAGAAGCGGTTTAAAGACACCCTGAAGGCCTCTCTGAAAGACTTCGGCATTGACCACAACTCGTGGGAAACGACAGCCCAAAACCGTGCAGCCTGGCGTGGAGCCATCAGCAAGGGAGCGGCAGCGTATGAATCACGGCGTCTGGAAACAGCGAAGAGCAAGCGCGCAACAAGAAAGTCCCGTGCAAGCAGTGCTCCCGCAATTCATGACCCTACAGCGCTACCTTGCCCTCACTGCCCAAGGACCTTCAAGGCGAAGATTGGCTTAATCAGCCACCTGAGGACCCGCCCCACCCCCCAGATATGATGAAGAAGGTCTTCTTCCCTCAGGAAGGACGAACACCACTTTACTAGATCTATCTAACCTGGCCCTCCCTGCATCAATAGTACAAACAGAAACAACCAAACTGAGTTGACCTTGCCGGGGGCAAAGTTAATTATGTCGACCAAAGAGACTGCGATCACACACTCTCGGATTGCTGGGGGAAGAAGTGTTGGGAAGCGGCCATGGCAGTCAGTTTTGTGCGATGTGATTTAAAAAATAAATATAGAAAAGCTATAACACACAGCAAAATGAAATTAAACATGTGGAAAGACAAATCGGGGTGGAAGTAATGATCATGCTGTGGTGGTGGTGGAAAGACCCTGAGTTGTCGGTAACCGTACTTAGAAACTGCCATTGGGTAGAGTGCAGTCTTTTGACTTTTGACACAATTACAGTCCTTGTAGGTAATTCTAGATCTAGTTCTAATTCTGGTTTAACATAAAAATCCCCCGGCAACAGTTATTTTATGAAACATCCTTACACTCACAACTCACTTAAAAGGCGAGTCCGAATAAATGAAAACAAATTTTCGGACCCGAGTTCGAACCCTCCACTGTTGTTATGGTTAGAGTGCATTAATACATGCAAAGCGCCACGCTGGCATTTACTGGTTTTGGTCTTTTTTTACTGATGCACCTGTCTCATGTAAACTTTTTATACACTTTTTTTTCTAGTGGTATTTTGCATGCCGAACATGAATATGGCCTTCATTTTTGTCGCAAATCAATAGTTCGCATATTGAGTTATTAATTTTTGAAAACAGAACTAGGACCAGTGGCATAGTAGAGCCTTTGCCAAAAGGTGGGAGTGTTTAGTAGTAGTAGTATAGGGTTTTACGTCGCTCGCAACTGCTAAGGTCATATGAGCGCGCTGGGGGTGTTTGCATGAGGACTTTTTAAATCAACCACTGCTCATGGAAAAATATGTTTTCTACTGAAAACGTTATGCATATGGCAAGGAAATAAGTTGGTCAAGCTGCATGAGCAAGTAGATTGATGTGCGCATCTTATATCTCTTCATAGAAAGATAATAGTACTTAAAATAGGGCATTTTTTACTCATCTTGAGTGCACACATAATTGTATGTTAAATATGGAATATTGTTCATCTTAAACTATCAAACAGTAGTGCATTCAAACATTGAAAATATTTAGTATACACCATCATAACACTGTGAGTCCATTAACAGGGTATTATTTTTTTATACTAAAGATGTTATTGCGGAGTAAAATTTATAAGTCCGTTCATAACTTGCGTCATAATTATATCATCAGACTTTCCAAGGTCTAGAAAACCCAAATCGTTGACCATATCATTCCCAGGAATGACCAGTATTAAACATTGGCTTGACATTGATCCATCAGAAGGGTAATTTTCCGCTAAGTCGTATGCTTTTGCTTAAATTTGACTTTGATTGAGATTATCCAGGTTTGTCATTATAATGATGTTATAAAAAACACTTTATGATATTTCTGCAAGACATGTGAGGGGCTTCCCACTGTTTCACAACATCCTTTTACATGGTGGCATAAACATGGAAGAGCAGCGTGCTGATGACCCAAAATAGAAGCGAAGAAGATGAAAAAAAATATGCTTGTCATAATGGATTGTCATCATGTTATGAACATGACAGTGTGTCATAATTGTTATGAACGAAACCTTATTCCATGTAATTTACAGTTGTTTGGGGATGTATCTTTTATTTTAAACCATCTTAAGGATGTATTAGACCTTGCTTACATTCTGATATTTTGATTTTTATCGTAAGAGTATGGGTCTGAATTTTAATTAGTATTTTACTTTTGTAGTAGTGCCTATGAACGAACTATATAATATAGTACTCTGAGGGCCTTCCAGTGTTGATAAACATTAAAAACATGTACACAGATACATATTATGAGGAAAATTTCATTTAATATAAATATTTTAAAATAAATGACAAGTCAAAATATTAATTTTAAGGTCAAAACTGAAGTTTGTCAGTTTGTCAAAATAGTTATGAACGAACCATTAAAGGTATTCAAAGGGTTTTTCAGTGATTAAACTTTGAATTCTTCCTACATGTATGCTTATTTTGAGGAGAGTCTCATAAATCAAAACAATTTTATGTGAATGACCGTACAATAAGTTAATTTTTTGGGCCGTAAGTAAAATTTATCATAAAATAGTTATGAACGAAACAGTGTGTCATAACGGTTATGAACGAAACCTTATTCCATGTAATTTACAGTTGTTTTGGGATGTATTTTTAATTTTAACCCAACTAAAGGACGTGTAATAGACCTTGCATACATTCTGATATTTTGATTTTTATCATAAGTGTATGGGTCTGGTTTTTAATTAGATTATACTTTTGTGGTAATGGTATAAATGAATGAACTATTTATTGTCCATTTAGTATTCGATGCCCCAATGATCAGACCTCGTAAGTGACAATTTTTGCGAAATTGACTTTTTTACACCACCACATTCAACTGCTTACAAAGCACATGCCAACAGAAGGTTTACATGAAAAAAACTGCATAAAAGTGTCTTTAATCGTAAGTAAACAAAACTCGAAAGTCCACCCTTCCCCAAACGTGGTTGTGATCAGACCCCGTAAGCGTTCTCGTGCCGTTTACAAGCTTTGACTACAGCTGAGCGCAGTGATTCGAGACAGGTCATCGACGCTTAGGAGAGGTCAAAGCAACCCTTATTTACCTTTTGTACCTGATTCACTACGTCTTCCAGTTCCAACACGTTTTGTATCAGTCTTTTACGGCAAATCTTCATCTTCTGTCAAATCTGCCGCACTTCTGACATCTGCTACACCACACCCATCTGTACCCCTTACAGTCAATCCTGAACCATCTGCTTTGTCCGATTCACCAATGTGATCCCCCTATAATATGTCACTCACCACCCGTTGCCGAGCCTGCATTAGTTCTGAAACCCCATTTATCAAATCCATATGTTCAGTCACCTCATTTGTTACTCGAGGTCGACCCTGTATCACCTTTCTGGTCAGATTCCCCTGATCTCTCTGCTCATATATGCCACCCATTGTGGAAGCAATGTTGCACTCTTAACCTGGTTCCCCACAGTATGTACACAATCTCATAAGATAGAATCGCCAGATGTATCAATGATATAAGAAAATGGATGTTCAAGAACAAATTAAAATTAAATGAGGATAAGACCGAAATATTATTTCTTCGTAGCAGCGCATGCAATGAAATCGACAATATCAGAATAAACATCAATGGCCACGAAATATCAGCCCAAACTAAAATAAGAAATTTAGGTGTAGTGCTAGATCAAGATATGTCAATGAAATACCATGTATCCAATCTTTGTAAAAATCTATATCTCCAGCTGAAGAAAATAGGGAGCATTAGAAAATATCTATCTGTTGGTGTCACCAAAACTTTAAGAACATCACTTATATATTGTCAAGGATTGATTATTGCAATTCCTTACTGGCTGGTGTACCTGATGAACAGTTACAACAACTACAAAGAGTACAAAATATTGCTGCCAAAATAATTACTAAAAAACTAAAGCATGATCATGTGACTCCTATTTTAAAAGCATTACACTGGCTCCCAGTGAAAGAGCGTATATATAAAATCTGTTTAACTTGCTACAAGTGCTTAAACGATTTATCACCGGACTATCTAAAACAGCTTTTAACACCCTATGTGCCTCCTAGAACGCTCAGATCATCTAGTGACAAAACAACCCTTGTTAAGCCTAAAATAAATTTCAAATCATATGGCCAACGCTCTTTTTCATATTTTGCCCCACTTGTTTGGAATAGGCTTCCAAAAACTATCAGAGAAGCAGAAAATCTAGAAATTTTTAAGAAGAAACTAAAATCATTTCTATTTTCATCATATTTCGATTAGACAGAATGCATCCAAGCTGTAGATCGTTGTGAGTTTGAATGTGCGTATGTGCATATGTATGTATGTGTGTATGTGAGTATGTATATGTGTGTGGTGCGTGCGTGAGTGAATATGTGTTTGCATGAGTATGTAACACTATGTATCTTTAAAATTGATTTGTAAATCCATTATATAAATTATATGTATCATGTTAAGCGCATAGAGCATTGCATAAGTGGATATGCGCTATATAAATGCAATCCATTATTATTATTATTATTATTATATGTCGTCTAAACCAGATCATGAGGACAGTCTGACTTAAAAAACACACACATTACAATAGTAGAACGTTCCAGCAGAACGGAAGCAAAACTTCTAATGAACAGATTTATGCAAGACCTGTAAGAGAAAAGAAAAGGTAATGTGAAAGCAAGAGAGCTGGGTTGAAGTGCAAAGAACTTTCCCAATGTAACAGACAGAAAGTTCTCAATTATATCTGGCCCCTGCACTGAGAAGGAAAAGCGGCATACATTAAACGCCCAAACGGTAGAGAGTCCTGGGCATCCGTAGACATAAATAGATATTGAATATCTTTTAGAAAAAGAATGCCAAAAAAAAAGCATGTTCCTCAGGACAACAGCTGTTGGTGATAGGTGTATTATTAGGAGCATTGTAGTGGATCGAGACACTGCCGCTAGAGACAACCCTCACTACAAGAAAGCATAGCGCAAAAACATTTCTTATTGAAGATTTCTTTGTAAAACTGTCCAAAGTAAGTTCTCATTATTGTCGAAAACAAAACAGGAAAGTTGTACACTGAGCTAATTTTCTACAGTATACGAATTTCACAGAAGTATGTTTAGCTTTGCCACCAGAAAAATAAAAAAAACTGCATTTGGCCATCTCGACATTTAGGGGCATTTTCCAAGAGCAAAATATGTCTGTTAACGCGCCAGTGCGGCCTGTGTGTGGGAAATACGGGCGGAAAAATCAGTGAAGAGATTTGGAATAGTTTCAATGAAAAAGAGCCACAAGCTCAAGCCGAAAAGGACAACGATAAGAAACTGGCTGCAGCCAACAACGGTAGAGACCTGTGTAATCACAATGGAACTTCAGTCTGTTCTCTTGGTGCCTTGTCTACAAGCACAAAATTTACTATAGATATAACTTGGTGACAATTGATGTGAGATGTGTGTATATTTATAAAGGCCGTCGTTATTAGGACTCGAGTCAGAATAACATTTTGGGAAGATTGAAGAATACCGGACCACTCGTACATTACTGCGCGAGAAAGTGGGGTTGGTGGGGCGGGTGGTTTGACAAAATTTTAATTGACAGATCTACCGGTCCGAGATTCTCCATTGAGAGATATCAAAAACGGGAAAATTATGAATTCCTAAGGTTGGGACATAGATCTAGATCTAGAGGCAAAGTCAGTCCGCTGGTCCAGTATTCTTCAATCTTACTCTGTGCATCTATGTGAGCTGGTTTTACGCCCAACGGCTTAATTTCACGCAGTTGGAGATAAAAGAGGTTTTTTTTCAGTGTTTCAAAGTCCTTATTTTTCACCCTGTGTCAAAGTATCGTTTGACTTGGACAACAATGTTGGCCTCATTTAATGATCAAATGATCAATCAATGTGATACAGCCAAAAAAGTAAATTTTGAAAATGTTGTCGCTTACAAGGTTTGTACACGACGGCAACGATATGCACTTACTACGTGTGACAGGTAACTTATTTTCTTTGGTGTCTACAGGCGGAGGCCTTGAGGCTCTGGCCTTGAGAAAGTGTCTATAACTAATGGCCTGGCCTCTTTCTGTTTGTTTCACAGAATTTGAGTTTGTTACAGACCTTTTCGACGAAAGAAACCAAGAAAAGTAGGACGATACCAGATTTATTTGACGCAGACCTGCAGTTGAATTCGCCACTTCGTAACAATATTTTATGATTTAGCTGTATTTTGATTTTGATTTTCAACTAGATATCTAGTTCTAGATCTACTCAAAAGGTCACTTAATACTATGACAAATTCTGAATAGGACAAACTGTTTACTGTCATTTTCAATCAACAACTGCAAACTATTTACTCCAGTAATTTTCTTTATATTTTGGCGGGTTTTCCTGAGGTGTTCAATTTTACAGCTAAATCCTGCCAAAGAAGGCTAGCCTAGCCTAGAGAGAGATAGGATGGAGAGGGGTTCGGAAGGCAATTCAAAGAATTGGTTGTCATGTCACCAGAGAGTATTATAATTAATAGTCTCTGATGTCACTTGGCCAGCCAGGTTTTCATTCACTTCCTCTAACAACAATCTATCAACAGCCCCAGGCCTCAGGAAAGGAAACTACCATTATGTGCAAAGAATAGTTGACGATGGACACTTCTACACTACCTTGTAATAGTAGCTTAATAGGTGATCTTGTAGTTCCGCTGTTAAAGTCCACGATCCATTTGTTTACATCAGAGAAGAAATCCAGAAGTCTTGAAGACCAAATACTATTTGAATTAGGCTACACAAAGAGCAGGGATGCAACCTAACTGCAAAACATCAAATTAGGATAAAATTCAGGGGGGCATGCCTCCCTGAACCCCCCCACCTCCATTTTTTTTTTTTTAGGGCCCCCCTGAAACCCCCCTGCTTGACTTTAATGAACGAAACTACAAAATCGCCGCTTAATATAATAGGCTTCTGCTTAATTTTAGATTTAATATAAATATATTATTATAATGTCGCGACACGGTGGAATCAGGCTGGCGCTTGTCAATTTTGAGGCAAATTGTTTTTTAATTGGCGAGAATTCTAGGGCGTGGCCGTAACAGTTTTATTAATTTCAAAGGCTTGAGAGTCCTTGAAAACCATGAAATTAGATCTAGATATAGATTCTAGTATTTATTTCTAGTTCTAAAAATCTAGATCTAGATTCTATATATGACATAATATGATAAAGGATATTCAGTTGATTTATGTTGTATGTATGTTCGTCCATTCATATGTTATTCGTGTGTCCTCAAGTATCTAGATATCTAGATCTATGTTGTTTGTGTATTCACAGACCTGTGTCAAGCGTGACTTTGTATTGTTATTGAAATAAAAGACATAATAGATTCTAAACAAAGACTGTGAAAGTTAGATCTATTTATACAAAGTCAAAATGACTCTCATCTGATGTCCTGCACCACTGTGTGATGTTGCATGGCCCTCAACCACAGCCGCGGAAGTTCTTTTGAAACTCCTCAACGTGCATGAGAGGACCGCTCACCCAGCCACCGCCCCTACGACAGCGCCCACGGCCACAGGGGTCAAAGCGGAGAAGGTGAAGCGCCCAGTCGTCTCTGCATCTGGGACTAGCGAAGAATGGACATATTTAGCTCAGCGTTGGTCAGAATACATAAGCAAGCCACACGACTCACTGGCGAGGACGTCATCTTCCAACTCTTTGAGTTTTGCGATGAGGCCCTCTTCAAGGACCTAACAGGAGTTTCAACAACCTCACATATCATATGACGAGCCCACTCTCTTGGCATCGTAAAATCCCTGGCCGTCCGTCAAGAAAATGTCATGGTGGCTAGACTCCAACTCCAACAAATGCGACAGGACAGAGATGAACCTGCAAAAACTTTCTCTGCGCCAAACGAGTGTGTGTCAGTATAAAACATCTCGCGCGAGTGTGGAGCCCAACCGTCGTACACTGCTCAAATGGTCAGGGACACCCTCATTATTGGTCTTGCAGATGATGATATCCACCTCGACGTTCTTTGCCAGGCCAATCAAGAGATGTCCCTCTATGAGACCATCCGCTTTATTGAGGCCAAAGAAAGTGGAAAACGTTCTGCCGGATAAATAAATCCTAACCCTACGGCCGTGTCTGTGGTAATTGATGCAGCAAGCAGTAGGCCTACATACAGGCAGATGGAGAGAAGACGACTTCAGGGGCGACCTCCAGATAGAAGATAAAATACTCAAACAGCCATGCAGCCACTGCGGCAAGGCAGGACATGGCAGTGGGAAGCAACAACGTATGAATCATTGCCCTGCCTTTAATTACACCTATACTAACTGCTACCTCCAACACCGCTTCGAAAGTGTATGCCGTAAACCCAGGCAGAGGCCTCATACCAATCAAAACAACTCTGCTACAGCAGTGTTTGAGAGCCTTTGCCACATTGAAACTGATATAATGAACAATTTGTCGGCACTGCAACACTAGACCACCATGTATTCGATTCCCTGAGTGACATGTGGGAAAAACGCGCATCTCCACCCCAACCAACCATCAACGTGGAGATTCAGGCCCTTCCATCAGATGCCAAAGCTTTAGGAATTGAACCCACTCTGTATAGCTCTACTAGAACCCCTACTGTACTGGCAGTCGCAGACACAGGTTGCCAGTCATTTCTTGCTGGTACTTCCTTCCTGAGTCAACTAGGTTTTGAATACATCCCAGCTCCTCCCTCCCTCAATGAAAATGAAGGCCGCATACCAGAATGCAATTAGAATCGAGGGTGCTCTAATCCTACGCATCACTGGCCCGACACAATCAGATTGTATACTTTTCACATTCGACTGACAAATTTTTCCTGCCATAACAGACTCACCTTCGCTGCACAGCGACACTGACAATGGCCTTGATGAAGACTGCTGTAACTGCCCTCCTCGTCAAACCCCACCCACTCTCCCCATTTCCCTCCTCCTCTTTCCAACCTCTGAGGAAAACAGGGGAAAACTAGAGCAATGGCTGTTAGACTACTACAGAAGTAGCACATTTGAACAAGTGTGAGCACCAAAAGCTGCCCATGATGTCATGATATGAGGCTTATCATTGAGGACAATGCTACACCTGTAGCACGCCACATGCCTACCCCTGTACCTGTCCACTGGCAAGAACAGGTGAAAGCTGGCCCTGATCAGGATGTTCAGCTCGGCGTTATTGAACCAGTTCCTATCGGAACTCCAGTTTCCTGGTGTCATCGGATGGTCGTATGTGCCGAGAAATCTGGCAAACCTCGGCGGACCGTGGACTTCCAAGCCTTGAATCGCCATACTACGAGAGAAACACACCATACCCAGTCTCGGTTTCATCAAGCCCGCACGGTCCCCGCAAATACTCGAAAGACCATATTTGATGCCTGGAATGGCTACCACAGCATTGCACTAGACCCCAAAGACAGACACCTGACAACGTTCATCACACCCTGGGGTCGGTATAGGTATTGTGTCTGCCCTCAGGGATACATAGCTTCCGGTGACACCTACACCAGACGTTTTGATGAAATCGTTAGCGACATTGACAACAAAACAAAAGTCATTGATGACACAACTTTATGGTCTCCGTCCATCCAGGAAAGCTTTTTCCAGGTGGCAAAGTGGTTGGACACATGTGGCCGGAATGGTATTATCCTCAATCCATTAAAATTCCCATTTGCAAAATACACAGTCAACTTCGCAGGCTTTGAAATCTCCCCCACAGCAGTTTGTCCATGTCCACAGGTTCTTGAGGTGATCAAGGGGTTCCCCAAGCCTCGCAACATCACTGACGTTAGAAGCTGGTTTGGTTTGGTAAACCAAGTAGCCTATGCTTTTGCATCAGCGAACAGATTGCAACCCTTCTGCAACCTCTTAAAACCAAACACACCCTTCAAAGGAAATGAGTATATGGACAACCTCTTTGAAGAAACCAAGGCCATCATACTTCAGGACATACAAAGAGGGGTAGAAATATTTCTGTCCCCGTAGAATTATGCAATATTTAGATGGCCAAATTATGCCAAAAAAAAGCAAAATTATGCAAAAATTATGCAAGTTACCGTAACACCATTCGCGACATGTTTTGCACTTTTTCAACATGAATTTTCATGATTTTTATGTTTTATGCACAGAAAAATAGAAAACAGAACATATTAGTATCTGTAATTTGTTGTGTATTATGAAAGAAAACAATACCCATCAGTCAGAAAAAAAACAACAACCAAAAATTATAATCTCTGTAACTTTTCAGCTGTAGATCTAGAATCACTGTAACTTTTCAGCTGTAGATCTAGAATCTAGATCAAGAATCTAGATCTATAGAGAGGAAACAAAAATGAAAAAAAAAGAAAAAAGAAGGGCATCTGGACCTCTGATGCTGGCACAATACTAAAACAAGGGACACCTGTCAAACATGAAACATCAGCAGACTTGAGAACAAGTTCAACTTTTGATGGATTGAAAAATTGAACATGCTCAAGGAACAAAATGCCAACCCATAACCAAGATCTTCTAACAAGGGAAATAACCATACCAATTAAATGAGACTTATTACTGTGATTACTTCCCTTTAGTCACATGGCGAGGTGTTAGTTAATTGTTTTGTGTAAAAAAGGGGAAAAAACGTGAAAAAACGCGGGAAATTAAAAATTATGCACATGTTGCAGAAAAAAACGCGGCACGGCCGCTACGGGGACAGATATTTGACAAAAGAAGACCTACATGCCTCCCAACAGATATCAGCAAGAACGGCATCAGCTTCTGGCTTCTCCAAAAGCACTGCAAATGCACTTCAAGTAAGCTATTCTGTTGCCGCTTAGGCTGGAAAGTCACACTAGTAGGCAGCCGCTTCATATCCCCGACTGAATCAGGATATGCCCCCCTTTGAAGAAGAAGCACTGGCTGTTGTGGATGCCCTAGAAAAAACTCGTCATTTTGTCCTAGGTTGCCCCAACCTGATCATCGCAGTCAACCACAAACCCCTACTTAAGGTGTTCGGTAACAGAAGCTTAGAAGCCATCCCCATCCCACGACTGAGGAATCTGAAAGAGAAAACATTAAAATACAGTATTCAAAATTGCCCACATTCCAGGAATCCGGCATGTCTCTGCAGATGCTATCTCACGACACCCAGTTGGACCTGCTTTAAATAACTTTCACAGTATTTGTTTCGAATTTATTATGTCTTTTATTTCAATAACAATACAAAGTCACACTTGACACAGGTACCTGTGAATACACGAACAGTATAGATACTTGAGCGAGCACACACGAATAATAGATGTGGACGAACATACATACAACATAAATCAACTGAATAACTTCTATATGGAAAGGTGTTGAGGCAGGAAAAAATAAATGCCAAACTACATATTTTATATGGCGGAAAAAATACCTGTTTCTTTGATTTTATTGTTTTGATGAGCGCCTGATTTCACCATGATGCCTCACATATATATGATGATGCCAAAGACATGGTTGGGTGCCTGTAGCCTACCTGCTATAACCCCTTTCCTTGACCCTGACACCCCAGGAAAGAAGACTTTTCATGGCCATGTTTCGCGTTTTATCTTGCATTTCTCTTCATTTCCTCTCCTTAGCTCTGTCATCTTAGAAAAAAAAATCACTTTGAAAATGGTTACATTTCAAAATCCTGGAGGATACTGGGGGAAAAAAAGGGGAAATTATTTTTCCTTAATGAGTGGGAGCCCTGTGTCAACAAATGCATCTATTTTGTTTTTTCTTCTGCTTTGTTAAGCTCCAGGTCTCAGCGCAATAAATTCAGGAACATGGGGAAGATGTAGCACTCCTTCATTTTCTTTCCTAGAGCTAGAGATAATTGCTTGGATGTCAATGCACTATAAGACGGATAGATAGAACACAGAAGACTCGAAATCACACATACGTCCAACTGTGCCTGCAGTCCCTGTTTTTTTTTTCTCCTTTGTCTTTGTAAGATATCTCTCAGTGTAGTTTTATAAACGGTAGAAGATGATTTCATCTGTGAACACGGATTAACAGGGACAATGAATGATACAGGTTCGACATAAATAACCTGAAATAATATGGGGTGCACCACATAACGTACAGAGAACATGAACTAATATCATATAACAAATAACCATACAGAATAGATATGGTTTGATCTCTCTTTTACTATTTCCATTTGTCATTATGCTGTTTTGAAGTTTTGCCTCTTAAAAATAATACATGTATTTGGATACATGAATCACACTGTCTGAAGTCACCCCTCTTTGGCTGAAGTTTCCCTCGTGTTTGTCCAATGTCTCCTGCATGCAGAGTGGCCGGGGTGGTTTCAAACAGTACTGATAAGGGGAGATTTCAAACATATTATTAGGGTGTCTCAAATAAAACCTAAAAATGCATGAAGCTGTAATGCCCAAATGTCTTACAATGATAGTGAAACCTTTTTCTTTGGCTTACTTATTCTTGAACCGAGCAGTGGAGCAAAAGGTTAAAAAGTGTTTCCATTCTCCCCTATCAATAACTCCATGCCCAAAAATTGAAGACAGAGCTCCGGATCATTCATCCATGTCAAGACACATTATATTTCTTGTCATGCATTTTGTTACTATATTTCATTTTCTGTAATTTAAATTCTGCAGATGCTGTGAATGCAGGGCAGAGTGCCAGAAGCTTGGAAAATGGTGGGACAGGTCAAGGATCTTACTCATGTCAAGAAGCAAATGTGGAGCAAATTGAGCTGGAATACAAAATTCCTGTGAGTTCTTGTCTTTACTCAATGGATTTGCATTGCAAACCTGTATGCAGCCGTTTTGATCATTATTTGTGTGTTTTAGTGAGGTTTTATTGCTCTCGCAACTGCATACTCTAAAGTATGGAATTATTAGCCCCCCTCCCCCCCTTATTATTCCGATTTTTTGCGCCCCACCCCCCCTCCCCGCTCCTTATTCTATACCCCCTGTTTATTATTTTCCAGCTTGCCACGACCGACGAGGATCATGGAAAACATTTTATATCTAGAATCTACATATATCTGAATGGAACTTTTTTGTTTGTTTTGTTTTTCATTTATGGCAAATTACCCTCAGTATTAATACTGGTAACGGGTTGGCTACTTCAATTTTCTGTGCATTTTAAAAACTTTTGTACATTGGTTTATTTTTTTTTTTTATGAAACTGGTTTGTTCGTAGAAAAGTTGTCACAGTAACTCACTAAAATCCTAAAAATTTCATGATCTCTTGTTCTTTTATGAAGGAGAAATAAAACAGATTTGTTCCTACTAGTACTGGAGTAAGACGTTGAATGTGCCCCCCGCTCCCTCCCTTTATTCCTAAACCCCCGTTTATTCGATACCTTAGAGTAAGGTCATGTGAGCGCCAAGGGGTGGATTCAACAAAGAAGTCCAAAAGGGAAATCAGGCTTACTCTAGAGGAATATCATTCAGTAGCAACAAGACTACATGTATGTGCAATAATTCGTATCTGTTCGTTGCGTCCATTATTATTATTTCCCTTATTTGTCAATCATATTCATCTGTTTTATTTCTGTTCCGTTTCTGTCCCAGTCATGCATCGTCTGACGTATGTCTTCATTGTGCTTCATTATTAAAGTTCTCATCAAGTCACAAAGAGTCACCTCTCTAGCCTGAATAGCACAAAGTCTGCTTCGACTATCAAACCACAACGGAAATAGCAGTTCACAAGAGAATGACAAACATACAAAAGAAGTAGAGGGAAAATGACAATATAATAATAAGGATGAGGAAAGAAAAAGCAGCAGTTCTCCTTATGATGTTCTGGCGCAGTTTGATACTATGAGCATTACATTGATAAATCAGCCCGTTTACAATTCCACTGTGCATAAGAACATGTTAATATCTCCCCTTTGAGAATGGCCTAAAAACACTTCACTCGGTTGCACTGTCATGGTGGGTGGAAGATACTTGTTTTTGGTGAGAACATTACTGGCTCAAAATAAAGAGACCCAAGGATGTTGTGAGCCTGCTGTGGGTGCGATATCATTGAGTTAAATTGCTGGGGTATAGGCCTATAATGAATATAAAATATATAATATATGTCTCTTGTTGAATAGAAGGCATGCTTTTTGGATTTTTGAGAGGGGTTTGGTTTTTGTTCTTTCGTCTTTTTTTGTATTTCATTTAAATTCATTTTATGTTATATATTTATTAATCTTTTTTTTTAGAATTCAGAAAGGATTATTTTTATTTTGTTTATTTATTTTTCCGTTTACTTTTTAAAAATATTTTGTTGGGGGGGGGGGGGGGTGGTTAAAAGTGTTCCTAGTTCAGTAGAAACACAGCTGGCAGTCAATAATTTTCATATTAATACTAATACACAGTTTCTTTTTAGTTGTTTTTTTCTACAGTCTTTTTAACATGTGCATGTGTTTTACCACCAGCTTTTTTTATTTTCTATAAACTCGGAAACATAATATATGTTAGGCTACCATGTGAATTGAAAGGGCCAAATGAGAAAAAGTCTGTCTTTGAAGCAATTATAATTATAAATGTGTTTTTTGTTCAGCAACAAATAGAAGTATTAGAAGGGCCTTTTGCTATTTTCATAACAAATCTGCAACAAAGAATGATACAGAAGGTCATTTGTACCTTCATCCATCAAAATTCTTCCATATTAACCATCTTGTTTTAAGTATTCATATGACCTTAGAGTAAGCATCAGGATAACATTGAGTATGTACCTAGCTTAAGATTATTAGTTTATATTACTGTTCATTTATATGCATGTGACTGTTAGCCTGCGTGTGTGCGCATGTTTGTGTGTGTATGTGAGTGTGTGTGCGTGTGTGTGTGTGTGTGTGTGTGTGTGTGTGTGTGTGTACGTGGTGAAACACCAAACCAATGAGTCCAATAAAGTTGTATCTTATCTGATCTTATCTTATAAGACATAAGGGCATAAAATACTGATGAAAAATTCAGCCTATGATGGAATGTATCCAGCTTTTAGGGAAATTATGTCAGGTATTCTCTAATTTCTGTGCATGTAAGCTTTATGCTGTTTCAATTAAAAGCTCAGCAGCAAGATCTGTATGTGATATAAGTTGCTTTAATGTGTATCTATCCTATACTGTTTCTGTTACAATTCAATATGTTTCTACAATTTTCTAGTAATAATTTAGGGCTTTATGTTATTTTTTATTTTTATTTTATATGCTTTACAGGTGCCCAATCTCTTTAGTCGACCTCCAATTGGAATAGTCAGTGTTCCTGATGGTCAAATTAGGGTTGAAGGTGAGTAAGAGTGCACAAGCATTTGTTGCTCTAAGAGTTTATTTATTTTTCCATTTATCATTCAAAGGCCTTTTTATTGACATAATTTGACAGTACACTTTTTATTTTCTTCTCAGATTTTTTTTTTTGTCGGAACATCTTTTCTTTCTTCTTAATGAAACAGTTTTTTTAAATAGCTCTTCACATTTTTACACTTGTAATGTAGAAAATATGAATTGTATCATTCTATAATTTATGTATTTGGAACGCTGTTTTTTTGGGGGGGGTGTCTCTCTCCCTCTCCTTCCCCACTCTCTCTATCTTTCTAACTTAATCTCTCACTCTCTCACACCTCAACTCCCCCCCTCCCACTTTTCCTTCTTGCGCGTGTGTCTTTCATGTGCCTGCATGTTTGGATGATTGCCCTTCAGTACATCAAACTTATACCTCAGCTCAGGTACATGGGACCTGTACATTCAGAGAATTAGGACTCAAAGGGTTAGGTTTGGTGACTGAAGTTTTGCAAAATTCTATTTTAAAGTCCCTCTAATTCTTCATCCATACAGGCTCTCAAACTCAAGATGTGGACCTTGTAGAGTCCGGGCATGGAAATGGAAGGTCAGTGTTGAGTCCTGTATTTGCTTAATGGAATAATTCATTTTATGTTGAAAATGCACTTTTTTTAGAAGACACAAAAGCTTGTTCTTCAAAGTTTCATTAAAATCTTCATTTTTTTGGCTTGCAAAAGTTATGTAAGCTTTGATTTTTTCGTTGCCTTAGGCCCAAGCCAGACTGCATATGGCGCTGGCCTGAGGCTGGCCCGGGGCTGGCCCGGGGCTGGTGACTCAGCGATGAAGCACGTGTAATTTGATAGTGCCGGCCAGACCGAAGCTGGTTGAGATCCAGCCTCGCGCTCCACCAGTCCCTGGCACCAGGCCTGGTAGTCACTAGTGCATGCTCTATTTTTTTGTAGCCCCAGGCTGGGGGTAGCAGTACAGATTCAGCATTCGTTTTGGCGTTTTGTCTACATTTGCGGACAGGTATGTGCAAAATTGTTAATTATATTTAAATAATGCATTGGTTGAAACCTTATTCTATGCAATTTTAGTGGATTTTCACTATTATATGGATTTTGTACGATGACCTACTTTCATCTTCCGGCTAGGCGAAGACTTCATGACATTTTAAATTGATTCAACGATAGTTTGCCGAATGTGAGTGAATATTTTCTGTATGTTTTTGATATACCGATGGATTAGTTAACCCTATCTGTACATCATGTTTTACTATCATATCCATACGATGTTGGGAACTCTGTGCCCCCACTTCCAAAGAGGAAATTTACTTGTTAGTCCGATCCGTACGCTTTTCATAGCAGTCTGTCAAAATGATTTTTTGAGATATACTGAAAGTTTCAAAGAGATTTTAGTTCTAAAAATATTCTAAAATGTGAAGAATACAACCCCTGGGGTACAAAATGACCTCAGGCGTACCTATAGGGTTCATGTAGCCAGGTGATTGTAGGTCTAGCTAAATGTAGTTCTAGATATAGAAATAGTTGTTGGCCGCTGAACTGTTGTATCTTTGTACGTGTACTCTAGCCAAGTTGATCGATGTGTAGTACCGTAGCCTAGTAGGCCTACATGCAGTAGGTTTGGTATTTCGTGGAACAGCTTCTTCTCTGTAGTCTCGTTTACTAGTTGCATTTTTGTAGTTTATTTTTGCTTTATGCTTGGTTCTGAGGCCCTGTGACAATAATGTTTTGAGGTGGCCATGTTGCTTTGATTTATTGATTCTCCTATAGCCAGGTAAGACAACTTTAACTACGATTGTTCTATATGTATATTGACACTTTGTCAAGAAAAATTGGGTGCAGCAGCAGCAAAGGAGTGGTACTGTAGTAGTAGCAGCAGCAGTGGTTATGGTGGTGGTTGTGGTGGTGGTGAAAGTATTAATAGCAGCAGCAGCAGCAGCACATATCCCCACTCCACAGCAAGCTCCTCTACATAGTAGTAGTAGTAGTAGTAGTAGTAGAAGTAGTAGTAGTAGTAGAAGTAGTAGTAGTAGTAGTAGTAGTAGTAGTAGTAGTAGTAGTAGTAGTAGTAGTGGTAGTGGTGGTGGTGATGGTTGTAGTGGTGGTAGTAGTGGTGGTGAAAGTAGTAGGAGTAGTGGTGATGGTGAAAATAGTAGTAGTAAAAGTAGTGGTAGTAGTAGTGATTGTTTTCTCTAATTTATTCTTTCTAGTTCTTATGTAGTAGAATGGGCTAGGACAGAAGTATGTGGAGGCGGAAAACTGTCTCCCACCTCCTTCACCGTCCCATTCCTGTTTCCTATGTCGTTGACCACAAACACATGCACTTATATACACAATCTGTCTTTCTCTCTCTCTCTCTCTCTCTCTCTCTCTCTCTCTCTCTCTCTCTCTCTCTCTCTCTCTCTCTCTCTCTCTCCAGAACACTTTCTGTCTCACACATGCACAGAGAAATAGACCTAAATATACTCAGTTATATATATAAATATATATATAAGCTCGCTAGTACTGGCTGAGATCTCACAATGTTCAATAAAATTGCTTTAACCTTCTGTTTCAACGAGCTGTGCCCTATCGAACTGCAAAGGCGCAGACAAGCTGGACAAGAAAAGTTTGGCAAACTCATTTCTGATGTCTAGTGCTTGTTGGCCATGCCTGTCAATGGTAACTGAAGTGTCAACTCTCATTTGAAGCAAAGTATAGTCATCATAACTGATGCGCTCACTGGTCATCTCAATATTTTTATATGCCTGTGAGTCGTGGACACTGACACAGAATTGGAGAAAAGGATTCAGACAACAGAGATGAGATGTTACCGCAGACTCTTTGACTTCTCATACAAAGACCACATTTCAAATGCTGAGGTGCGGAACAAAATCTCAAACGCAGTGGGGCAGCATGAAGATCTTTTGACCACAGTGAAGAGACGAAAATTAAAATGGTATAGGCATGTCACAAGATCCACAGGACTTGCCAAAACAATCCTACAAGTTACAAGGAAAGAGAAAGAGTGGAAGGCAGAGAAGGAGATGGGAGAACAACATCACAGAGAGGATAGGGAAAACGATGGGTGACAATCTGAGAAAAGCAGAGAACAGAGAGAAATGATGAGAGCTTGTTGTCAGATGCAGTGGTGCCCCCACGGTTGCCCCAACAAAGGGATAGAAGAAGAAGAAGAAGAACTGTCATTGTCATCTATTAAATCAGAGTTGTAAACTCCCTCTCTTTTTCTCACACAGGTGTGATGCACACAGCAAGACAAAACCACTTTAACTGCATTATCAGGCTTCATGTTCAGAGTTGTTTTGAGAACTGACCACTTTCGTGCCAGGATGTCAAACGCACATTTGATGGTCCTTCTCGCGTGAGAATGTCTGTGGTTATAAATTTGCCATACGTTGTTGAGTCTGCGACGTGGAAACGATCGCATCATGTTTCTAAGAAGGGAATACACTTCATCCCCTAGGAAAACATACGGCAAAGGATCAATGCTACAAATGCCTTCGTCAGTAGGGATCAGTGAGTTGTTCGAATAGAGGGCCCTGCCAAAAGCCAAGTGTTTGAACACTCCACTATCGGAATGTCTCCCAAAGTCACCGACATCAACCGCGATAAAATTGGATTGAGCATCACATATTCCTTGCAACTGAATGAAAAATGTTTGTTTATTGTCAAAGTATGCGCTGCCTGAGTTGGGAGGACACTCAATTTTGAGGTATTTGCCATCTATGGCTCCTAGAACATGCGTAAAATTCCAACGCTGTGCAAAACCCATAGCTACTTCCTTTTAGCTGTCAGATGTAAGGTCAGGTAGTTCAGCAGCTTTTAATTTGTTCCAGAAAACCCATTCGAAATTGATAATGCAGGCTTTTTGGTGTCTCCCGAGTGGCCAGATATCTGAAACAATGACATAGTGTCAAATACAGTGTCTATATTATTGAAACAAATACTTGGTTCAATAGGTAAAAAGCACCAAATTAATAAATCAATATATTTTGTATTCTTCTTCAGTTGAAGAAACAAGTGTCGGCGGCAAAATTTGAGAGGCTCGTTTTGCAAGAGTCTAGCAGCTCTCAAAGGACAGCCCAGTGGCTCTGCAACTTCAGCAAGACCAACATTTATCTATTTGAGCAGATGAAGTTTCTGCAGCACCACATGGGTCATGCCCCAATGCATGGCAACTACTATGGGAATGTGGACGAGTTGCTTTTATGTACTCTGGAGAATGGTGAAGAGCAATAAGTGGAAGAACAGCGAGAGCCAGTGACTGAGGAACAGGTTGACCCTCGGCTTAAGGCACCATCTTCACCCACCCCGTCTACATCTTCCGTGGCTTCCATGACATCTCGAGCACCCCGAAGAAGAAGGCCTTGACAGGAACAGAGCCGCTAACCTTGGGAGGAAACAGCAGTGGACTTTTTGAGGAACAAAACTACAAAGGAAGACTCTGACCTCAATATTTTTGAAGGATTGTTGGCCATGATCAGAGGATTGAAGCAAAACAACAATACTGAGATTTTTTTGCCTAAACCACTCCACTCCTTCTCAGTCATATTCAGCAACAAGATGCTGAAGATTGAGATAAATAAATAATCAAGTAATCAATTAATAGCCAGTCAAGCTATCTATCAGTCAAAACTTTATTAAAACGAAGATAATGTTAGTTCATTAATTATTTCAATAATGGTAATAAAAAAAACAACAACCTGTATTCTCGTTCTTGTTGTTAATAAACTGCATGAATGCTATCCAGTGTGTGAGAGAGTGTGTGTGTGTGTGTGTGTGTATGTATGTGTGTGTGTGTCTTTGTGTACACACTTGCGTGTGTACGTGTGTGCATGCGTTTGTGTGTGTATGTGTGTGTGTATGTGTGTGTGTGTGTTGTGTGTGTGTGTGTGTGAGTGTGTGCTTGTGAAAGGGAGATGAAGAGAGTTGAAAAGATAATGGAGAGAGAGAGAGAGAGAGAGAGAGAGTATGGGGGCGGGGGCGGCGACGAGGGAGGTAATGAATGTTTTAAAACTGTTTTTTATTTCATGCTCTTTTACTGGGCACCCACAGAAGATGTTAAGTGATTAGTAAATTTGTACAATTATTATTTGAATAAAAAGATTTAAAACAAACCTCAAGGTGATGAGTTGTCTCTCACTGGCTGTTATGGCCTTCCGGTAAATTTTGAGACTTACTATGTTCAGTAATTCTTTAAATAGGATGACCTCGACAACCGCGTGTAATTAAGAAACTTCTCCTCGTCATCACACAGTTAGTTGGGGATAAAGTCTATAAAATTCCTCTTGAGTGCCTTTTGGCGTTGACAGGGTAAATCCTTGATCTTCTTTTCTTTTGCGATAGCTTTTTCAAAAGAAGTAAAACAATTTTATGGTTTTATCTTTGTCAGATAATGATTTTTAGGGAAGACGAAGATAATGCAGTTTAAATGAAAAACACAAGATGCAGGAACTGAAGCTGAAACAACACGTGGGTAGGCCTACCGGGGGGGGGAAATGTTACAAATGTAACATGTTAGGCACGCAGCAATGACTTCCGTTCTAGTTCTAGCCCCAGCCCCAGCTGAACACACCAACACTGGCACCATGACTGGTGCTCCACCAGGCTCCAGACCCAGGCCAGCGCCGTCCGTTGTCTGGGAGAATACTAAGAAGAAGCCTTGTTTGTCAACCGGTGCCAAATTTTCAATGCTAGGCAAATCCAGGATAGAAGTTTTATGTGGTAAAGAAAAAATTTTGTTTCTGACTGTTGGGTCCTTTGTCAAGGTGTTAGTACATGTAGTCGAAAGTGTTTAGAGTCTGTAATGTTCATTTATCTCCTCTTTGTCTGTCTGTCCATTTTCCTCCCCCCTATCTCTTCTCTCTCTCTCTCTCTCTCT